GCAAGGGTTTTTTTAGTTTTTTTTGAGAGCACTTGAAAGACAAAGAGAAAAGAAAAAAAAGACAAGGTAAAGAGAGAGAAAAAGAAAAGAGAGAGGTTCGAGCGGTCACAGTGAGACAGTAAATGTGATTAATTACAGCTATGAGCGCCTCACTGATCCCAGCATGCTTTGCTCCCTTGAGCGTCTTATCTGCGCTGTGGCAGAGCGACACACTGAGCGCATCTCCAGGCCTCTGAAGTTTCTCTCTGGCAACAAAACTCTGTCTCGTACATCTTTACTCACGTTGTGCGAAACATGACTGAAAATATGTAATTAGTATAATAATATATGTCAAATATACATTGTATTTATTGTACTGAATTTCTAAATGTAATTTATATTTGTGATCACACAATACACAACTTCTAAAGTTAATTTATCAATAAATTATATTTATCAATAACTTCTAAATTATAAGTTAATTTATAAATCAATACATATAATTTATTTATAAATTAACTTTAAAAATAACCTATAAAAATAAATAAAATTAACCTTAATTTTATATAGATACATTTTATATTTATTATAATACAGTTAATTCAAATAATTTGTCATCAACTACCCAATTTTGGTCTATTACTCAACGCTCTGATTTTGCTGCACAAGTTATCTTGACTATTGTTATGATGTATTTATTTGTGCTTTTGCATCTTCTTTGGAGCCTGACAGCTGTTGACAGCACTATTCGCTGTATGTAAAAGAGCAGCGTGGAGATTCAGCCTACTTTTGTTTCCCACTGAAGAAAGAAAGTCATACGGGTTTGAAACAAAATGAGTGTGAGTAAACAATGACAGTTTTTGGGTGAACTGTCCCTTTAAGGAGAAAAAACAGACCACTTCAGCAAGGGTTTTTTTTGAGAGCACTTGAAAGACAAAGAGAAAAGAAAAAAAAGACAAGGAAAGAGAGAGAAAAAGAAAAGAGAGAGGTTCGAGCGGTCACAGTGAGACAGTAAATGTGATTAATTACAGCTATGAGCGCCTCACTGATCCCAGCATGCTTTGCTCCCTTGAGCGTCTTATCTGCGCTGTGGCAGAGCGACACACTGAGCGCATCTCCAGGCCTCTGAAGTTTCTCTCTGGCAACAAAACTCTGTCTCGTACATCTTTACTCACGTTGTGCGAAACATGACTGAAAATAAAAAGAGACGCTCTCTTGGTTGAAATGCATTCTGGGTAAGTCACCCCCCCAAAAAAAACACTTCAGACTAGGGATGCACCGATACCACTTTTTCCAGTACTCGCCCGATACGATACTTTTATTTTTGGTACTTGCCGATACCAATATTTTTATTGCATTTGTACATTTTTTTAATATTGGGTACAGAAACCAAAAGAGTATGTATAATGTTAGTTGGTTAACTTCATTTATCAAACAGATACAGTCAAACCAAAATTTATTCAGACACCTTCAACATTTCTCACATTATCACAGTTTATTCGCTATAGTTTAGAAAATGGTAATAAAATATGACAAGAACTCAATTCAGTCAGAACAAATTCAGCTTGATAATGTTAGATAACTTTGATAGAAAGGTATGTAACGGATTACAATCAACCAAAAATCAGACAGCTGTTAGTATGACAATATTTACACAACTATCAATACTTAGTCGGACAACCCTTAGCCTTAATGACAGCTTATAGTCTCCTGGGCATGCTGCCATTAAGGCTAAGGGTTGTCCGACTAAGTATTGATAGTTGCAAGCTGGGTGCTTCATGCAAACCTGAACTTCTTAAATTTTTTACCCAGACTCGGTCTGAATAATTTTTGGACCCAAATTTGTATCAGCTTTACTGGTAGTCCACTGTATGAAGAATTTTTGGGTATGATTTGTCACAGTTTACTTTATTTTACTGTCCTCACTTACATAAATAGTGTCCTGCACCCACTAGCAAAAAAAAAAAAAATCTAATGATATCTGGTCTCTGAATAATTTTTGGTTTGGATATACAGTATATCCCTCGGTTATTTTCACACTTAATTATGCCCATTAAAACGTATTTTACAAGTTTTTTGTTACTTTCATTGTTTTGCTCTATGGTACATCATCTTTGATTGAATAGCATTAGAGCTGCTCCACTGCAGCGGCTTAGTACTGTAATCACGCGCTTTGCTGTAATAATGCAGGGAACCACTCGTTATAAATCTCCTAACTGTGATATTTTCAGAAATAGAAGTCGTGATTTTTCATCTGAAACGTGCTGCGATTTATATTCCAAAGCCACTCATATAATGCAGAAACACTCAAGCATGCAAAACACGCGCAACGCGTGCATGTATTTGTCCTGGTGCAGAATGAGAGGACAGTAGTACAGACTAGCGCATTTCACACAGGCTGCTAGATTCACCTTCGCCTGAAAGTCATGTATGCCTAAGATTGAAAATAAATGATGTTTATAGTGAATGCCCCTATGAATGGTCTTATTTTTACGATTTAGTTTTAATCCAAATGATGCGT